TGAATTCACATAAAACACAAAGAGGGAAAAACATATTGCCTGGAGAAATCTGAGCAGAAACGGAAATCTGATCTGAGCAGAGAAGTTTTTTCGCTGGTTTACTTTTGAGAGAATTATAGTTGCACCATAGAAGTTCTTTCCTTAGGTTTTCTTTTATTTGGAAGAATTGTAGTTGGAAAAGAGATCTTTTTTTCTTATTGAAACAAAATTGTAGGGTTCTTTAGTTCCTGACTTATTCGTTTTGCGGGAAACAAAAAGTTGTATACTTTGGTTTTCCCACTCTGTTTTCAGAAAAAATTTAATTTTATTATATTTTAAAGAATTTAAATTACTGTATCTGTGGCGATTAAGTCGCCACGCATTCTTATACGTGGCGACTATCTATGAATTGCTACTAAAATTTTTACATCAAATTTTTATTTTTGCGAAAAAGTGAAATTTAGCCGTATAGTTGCAAGTATTTGTTGCGACCTAAGTTTATTTGTCACTAAAAGTATCCTTTTCATGGCAACTATGATAGTCGTCACCAAAGCTGTAATTATTTGTGGCAAATTTAATAAAACGCCACTAAATCACCTACTTTTTGTGGTGACTAATAGAGTCGTTGTTGAAATCCGTCACTAAAAACCTTATTTCTTGTAGTAGTATTACACACCAAAACTTTTAAAAAGTGTGTCACGCACTTTTTTTGCCATGTATCACACACGTGTATTACACATAAAAGAGGCACGTGAAAACTAAAAAATTCATTTGAAATTAAGCTTTTTCCTTTTTTTTTTTAAAATTATTTCCCTTTCAAATTAAAAAAAAATAAATATAACCCATGTCTGCTTCCCCAACTCCAAACACCAGTGTTTCTTCTCCTCTCCTACCCCCCTTGCGTTTCGTCTTCTTCCCCAACCTCCATTCTAGTTTTGTCTACCCCTCACGTTTCGTCTCTTCAACCCCCATGACCTAGAAGAAAAAAGAAGCTATTGGGTCTTGTAAGAATTACCATTATTAACTTTTTGAAAAAGCTTGAAAATTTAATCGGTCCTGTTGATTTTGGTGTTCCATGACCTAAAAAATTAGTTTGAATTCGTGATTATTGTTGAGTAAAAATTTACATAGGTGATTAATGCAGAAAACACCATTAATAAGTTTGAAGCTCTGCGTTTGAGCTTGAATTTGAAATTTTGTAAAAGGATTTGTGATGGATGTTGTTAAAACTTTTTAAAAATCGACAAAGAGTTGAATCTATAGTTAGGGAAGAAGGTTGTGGTAGAAGGGTTGGTATAGTATGGTGGTGGTGGAGAAGATGATGGGTTTGGTGGTAGTATAGTGGTGGTGGGCTGGGGATTTTTTTTTTCTTTGGGAAGATGAGGAGGGGGGGGGGGGGCAGAGGTTTTTTTTCCAGTTTTTCTTTTTTCTTTTTCCCCCTCGATTTATGACACGTGTTAGATGTTGATTGGCGCATGTTATAGCAATCGTTAAGCAGATGTGGTCAAACATCAAAGTGATGTGTAATTGACACACTTTTAAAAAATTTGGTGTGTAATAGTATTCCCGTGTTTAACAAGTATGTAGGAGGAATTTGGGGACAAGGTCGATGGGTAAAGTATGTATTTTGCCTATAGAAAAATATCACAAAAATAAAATACTAGTAACAGATTTTCATCATATCAATAATCAAGACATGTTTCACAAAATAAAAGACGAGATTTCAAATCTCAAGTCAAGACCATAACCGTCGCAATGCATAACTCAAATGGTTCAATAGGTCCAAACTCATAATGCAACATGTAAAATCGTCGCTAGATTCTAGGGGTGTGCATTCGATTTATCGATTCGATTTTGACCCTTATCGATAATTACTTATCGATTATCGATTTGTTACATATGCTTATCGTTATCGTTTCAATAAGGTTTCGATTTTTTCGATCTCGATTTCGATAACAAATAATCGATTCGATTTATCGATAAACCGATTCGAATGCACACCCCTACTAGATTCAATATATACAATTGTTACAACCGTTGCAAAAAAACCGTTGCAATAGACGCAATATTAAATTTAGTACTGTATTATGTAAATCTCTCTTCTTTTCAGATCTGCATATTAGTATCAACTGGATAAATTCATGCTTATGCTTAAACTTTTATTCCTCTATGTTGCAAAATTTATCAGATCATGAAGTTTAATCATGTCATACTCTATACAACTTCTTCAAATAATTTTTACACATTAATAAAGGTAAACAATAATAAAAAATAAAAATAAAAGTGAAAGATGTTGCGGAATAGAAAAAGAAAGCAGAGAAAGAATTATTTTCTTATTTCCTTTGTAGTTTTTCATTTTTCTTGTAAACCTTATTTCTTCATCATTTGTTTATGTAGGATATATATAATATAAAGAAGCTGAGTTGCATCTTGCATGAAAGGATTAAATGCATGGCTGGGGCTTATAAATTTGTTCTTCATCAACTATACGGTTGGAAATTATGTCAGTTAAATTCTCAGAAACTAACAAAACGGTGTCAATAACGCTCAATAAAAGAGTTACTTAATTGGAGAGAAGAAACAGCTAGCTAGTATCAGACTTTCAGATATGAATGAACTGAACAATAGCTAGCAAACATTCAAGAAAACCTTATTAATACCATAAACATTTATTGATTTTGTTTAGTAAATTAAAAGACCTCATCAACTTAATTACAAACCAGCATGCATACAGAGAATGTTGGTTTACTAGGTGTTAGCAGGGGGATGTAGTTATAGGTTACTAGGTTCATTTGAACCCAATATTTTTGGCAGGGAGCATAAATTTAAAATTCATTATAATTATAATAAATACTACTTCATGAACCCATAACATTTTAATGCTAAGAACCTTAAAGGTGGAACCATAGACCTTAGATCTTACATCCACCTCTGGTATTGGGTTAAAGTTTTCATGAACACGTATGGCAATGTTGGGAGATGGAATTGAGAACTAGTGGTGGCAAAATGGATTAAAAAAGTTATAAATTCATATTATCCATTGAAATATGGGTCAGAAAATGAACTTTTTAAAAAGCGGGTCAAATATGGATAAGAACCATATTATCCACTTAGAAAATGGATAAACAATGGATAAATAATGGATTTTAACGTTTTTAAAGCCTCAAATTGGGGGTTCTCAAGTTTAGAGGACGAGAAATTCTCCCAAAAAGTGATCATATTAAAAAAGTTTATGGGTAATATTGTTATCCGTAACCATATTATCCGTCGGTTAACTCGTTTTATATCCATATTAAATATGGGTCGGGTCGGATAAATTATCCGTTTTGCATTATCTATTTTTTGACCCGCTCATATTCGACACGACCCGCCCGTTTGCCACCCCTAGCTACTAAAAATTAACCATTAAAGATTAGGTAAACATTTTTTCTTGTGACATTAAAAATATGTAAACATCAAATAAAGAGAGTACTCGACATGTGCTCTATTAATGTAATGCTTTAACTAGGTTAGGTTACACAACGAAAATATAGCACGGTAATGACCCCGGGCCAAAGGGTAGGCATTCAAGCCTTAACCGACTATTTTTTTTATATTTTTTTATCCAGTGATGGTATAGAATTATTTACTAAAATCACGCCTGACAAGCTAAGTGCAAGTAAATTTCTATGATAAGTATAAACAAGTAACTCGATAAACATGACAATTGAATTGGAAAACAGGTTAAATTGTAATAAAGGTATACATAAATCTTAATATTATCATTGTTAAATTCTATTTTTGTTTTAAAGTCGGGAGGAGTCGTTCTAACCTTGAATTAGTCCAGATAAAAATATATTCTTAATGTATTGGATAAGGAATAATAAATGTTGCATGTGAGGAATTAAAATGTACTTCCTCTGGTCCACTATAATTGATGTTTTTGTGCTTTTTTTTAGGTCCATAATATTTAATTCTTTCAGATATCAAGAAAAAATTAGCCTTTTTTTCCCCCAAAGTTGTCGTTGGAATAAAGAGCATAGGAGTATTTGTTATATTTCTAATGAACAGATTAAGGTTAATATGACCAATATTATTGTTAATATTGTTAAAAGATTCCTTAATATGTGTGAAAACACTCAAAAATTCAATTAAAGTGGACTAAAGAAAGTATAGTTTAGCCGTTAAATGACATCATGATTATATTTCCGTTATAGTGATAAGCTTTAACTCCTGAGAAAACGATATTTTCCTAACTTTAATGAAATCGTCCCTTGGTTAGACTTTTAATGAGGTTTAATTTATAAGTTGCAAAAATTTACTACCTCAAGAATCTACACGAACCTAATAAATAACTCAAACCGCTATTTATCTCTGCCCTATGAATTTTACTCTTTTTAACTGCTTTACCGAAATCTTCTTCATTACATTTTACCTCAAGTTAAGTTTTCAACTCCTCTAGTCTTCTCAATAATATTCCACGTAGTCCTATTGTATCAAAGTCGCAATCACAATTAATTCTGCACTAAATAAACCTCATAACTTCTCTTTCTTCCAACTTACTATATAAATCTTGGCCAACTTTGGTTCTTTCCTCCCACTTCAAGCATACTTTCTTCCCCTCAATTCTCACTCTCTAAATTGGCTACAAATCTTGATCTACTATTAGGTAAATTATCAACTCTTCTCATCAAGGTAACTATATCTTCTTGACATGGTCACACCTCTTTTATTTATTTATTCTTAACCTTGGTTTTTTTCCTCATATTTGTTTAGGTTAATTCTTTAATTATGGGATCTTCACAAAAATAACTCATGACCAGATTCATTGTATAATTTTCAAGCTGGTATACATAATATATACACTATTTATACATGGTTATACAGTCAAATCTAACTGCATACATAATAACATGAATTATAAATATATTTTACACTTACATGCTATTCTTAATTTAAGCTATTATTTATTTCTTTTTATAATTTTTTTAATTATATATATGAATATAGGATTTCGTGGCATAAAGTATCAAGAAAATAAAATGAACTATAACAAGGAGAGGCATGCAATGCCTGACTTGAAGCTGAACTTATCACCACCAAGGGCAATTTCATCAAGTAGATCGTCATCATCTAATTCTTCTTCTTCTTCAACGGAGAGATCATCACCAGCAGCCAGCTCCTGTGTTTCTCGAGAACCGAGCCCAGATGATCAGTTTATCGGTTACCCTAGCAGCCCAGAGACAACTTCAATGATGCTTGTGGGATGCCCTAGGTGTTTAATGTATGTTATGTTATCAGTGCATGAGCCAAAATGCCCTAAATGCAAGAGTACTGTTTTGCTTGATTTTTTCCATGAGGAAAGAATCGAGAACTCCAAGTGATGAACTCAAGAAACAATCATATTCTCTTTGCTTTAAGCCTTTTACTTAATTTAGGTTTTAGTTTTGGCTGTCTTGATATCAATTTCTTCTTTTTTATTTTTTTTGGTCTTGATTGTGTGGAATTTCGTATTAGTTTTTGTAGCCAATTGGGACCTACTATATACGGTTGGTCCTTCATGTTAAAATTTTGATGTTAGCAGCTCATATATATATATTTACTGAATGCATCAATTTTTGTTGAGACAACCCCCGTTATTACCTTCATTAATTACACAAACTTCAAATGTTTCCGATGATTCTTTAGTAGAATAATTTTTACACTGACATAATGTCATTATCTATTACTTAATGAAATCATATTTCTCGAAAGTAATATTCCACTTTGTTCTCTTTACTTGTCCAGTTCGTATTTTGTATTCCCTTTTAAAAAAATTAATTAAATATTTATTTAATAAATTATTCTTATTAATGGTACTTTGGAAATTTCAATTTGACTATTAGTACTCGAATTTGTTTGGAAAATAATAACTTAATAATCNCTAAATGCAAGAGTACTGTTTTGCTTGATTTTTTCCATGAGGAAAGAATCAAGAACTCCAAGTGATGAACTCAAGAAACAATCATATTCTCTTTGCTTTATGTCTTTTACTTAATTTAGGTTTTAGACTTGATTGTTTTGATATCGACCTTTTTTTTTTTTTGGTTTTGATTGTGTGGAATTTCTTATTAGTTTTTGTAGCCAATTGGGACCTGCTATATATATATATATATATATATATATATATATGGTTGGTCCTTCATATTAAAATTTTGATGTTAGCAGCTCATATATATAGTTTCTATCTTTACTAAATGCATCCATTTTTGTTGCGACAACCCTCGTTATTACCTTCATTAATTACACAAACTTCAAACGTTTGGAGTTCATTATAATTTAATTCTGTAAGATGCTTGCTTCACATGGTTTGTTGGAACTTGGAACTTGGAACTTGGAACTTGGAAGATATTGTATGTTCTCAATTAAGCCATTTTTAAGCACTACCCCCACGCACTCTCCCCTTTGAAAAATACTAGAAGTAGGGGTGTACAAAGAAAACTAATAAATCGTACCAAATGAATAATCTGAGTCAAACCGAGAGGAAAAATCCGATTATGGTATGGTTTGATTTGGTTTGGTGTTGGAAGAAAAAACCTGACCATAATTGGTTTGGTGTTGGAAGAAAAAACCTGACCATAATTGGTTTGGTGTTGGAAGAAAAAACCTGACCAAAATTGGTTTGGTTTGATTTTAACTAAAAAAAGTCAAACCGAGACCAAACCAACCCGGCATTACATATACAAATTTTTTAGATATATTTAATACATAAATATACTTATTGTGATGTAATTTATAAATGTTTCTTAATCTTTTTCATAATTTTATCTTTTAACGTATTATTTCAAGGTTGGACTTAGAACTATGTTCCAATAAGTTTTATAGCCATTAATATTAGTAACTCAAATAATGCTAACAAAAGCCCAAATCAAACTTACATCAATACTAATGCTAACAAAAGACATTCAATTCAATACTAGCAATGACAATGTATTGAATATCTATTTTTGTTTTGCAATGATTTTGTAACGACCCGGTGGCCGTTTTAAGAATTTTCGCCCCGATCCCCTATTAACTGCATTCCCCGTGTTTGTTTCTGCTGTTGTGAGTTGCCGGGAGGATTTATTTGGAGCTTCGGAGAGTTCTGGGACACTTAGTCCCTAAATGAGAGTTTGAGTTTTAGAATTTGGACCATAGTCGGAACAATGTGTAGACGGCCTCGGAATGGGATTCCGTTAGCTCAGTTGAATGATTTCAGGCTTAGGAGCGTGTTCGGATTGTGTTTTGGAGGTCCGTAGCTTATTTAGGCTTTAAGTGCCGAAAGTTGAATTTTTGAAGTTTCCGGTTCGATAGTGAGATTTTGATCTAAGGGTCGGAATGGAATTCTAGAAGTTGGAGTAGCTCCGTAGTGTTGAATGTGACATGTGTGCAAAATTTTAGGCCATTCGGACGAGGTTTGATAGACTTTTTGATCGAAAACGTAAATTGAGAGTTTTTGAAGTTCTAGGCTTGAATCCATGGTTAATTTGATGTTCCGATGTTGTTTTAGGTGTTTTAAGGATTGGTATAAGTTCGGATAGTGGTATATGACTTGTTCGTGCTTTTGGTTGAGGTCCCGGGAGCCTCGGGATGATTTCGGATGGTTGACGGAGAGTTAGGCAATTGGAGTTGGCAGCTGAAGTTGTGTTTCCTGTCATAACCGCACCTGCGTGTGTGGGACCGTAGGTGCGGCGCCGCAAAAGCGGCTATGTGATCGCATAAGCGAAATTTGCCCAAGGCTCAAGGACCGCAGGTGCGGCTGGTTGACCGCAAATGCGGAGCCGCAGATGCGGCCAAGCGATCGCAGATGCGGACCCAACCCGTTAAGTGAATTTTGCACCTGCGATGCCTTTTCCGCAGGTATGGAACTGCAGGTGCGCTCCATTGACCGCAGATGCGGTAATCGCTGGGCAGAAATATGAGATTTCGAGGGTTGAGTTCATAACTTGGAAAAATCAATTTGGAGCTCGGGGTAAGGCGATTCTGTGGGTTTTTTGAAGAGAAGATCATTGGGTAACAATTCCTTATCCCTTTCTAGTTGTATTCCATTAATCTATTGTTAGTTTTATCATTTAATTTCGGATTTGAGATGAAAATTGGGGAAAAATTTGGAGAAAGTTCTTAGACCTAAATTTCGAGTTTTGATTGGGAATTTGACATTGGATTTGGATAATTGTGGTATGGTTAGACTCGTGAGAATATGAGGATCTGAAAATGTAAGTTTTACCCGATTCCGAGACGTGGGCCCGGAGGGCATTTTGGTCATTTTACCTAATTTCGCGTATTAGCTTAGAATTTATTTGTAGAATCAGTTACTTGAAGTGTTATTTACATTATGAAATTGAATTTTGAATAGATTTGGGCCATTTTTGGAGTCGAATACTCGTGGCGAGAACGTGGTTTCGGGTTGATTTTGAGCCGGTTCCAGGTAAGTGGCTTGCCTAACCTTGTGTGGAGAAACTCCCCTTAGGATTTGGTTTGTTGATAATTGAAATGCCTTGTATGTGAGGTGACGAGTGCATACTTGTGGTAATTGTTGAAAATCCATTTTCCTTAAGTAACTATAAATGTGATTTCCTTTTTCCTGTTCATACCGTGTGTAATTTAAGCCTGCTATTAGCTTAGGGAAGCATGTCTAATTGTCTTAATTGCCTTATCTGCTCAAACTACTTTATTTGGTTTATGTGTGGCATGTTAGGTTAGAAGTAGCTGTTTTTACCTTGGTATGAAATTAAAATTGAATTCAGTATTCTTCGTGTTACTGTTGTGTGTTTCATTGGGACTACGAGACAGTATCCCGGGTGATTCCCCTGCTTGTTTACTTTGGGACTACGAATTTCTATTCCGGGAGATTGTGACGACCCAAAGGGGTCATCACCTGTTTTCTCTCCTTTCCGCGCTTTCGAGGCCTTGAAAACCTCATTTTTAGTAGCCTCGATTTGCGTGCGCAAATTGGGTGCGTAGCCGGAAAGCATATATATGAATTCTGTGTGAAAAATGATAAATTTTGGTATTAATATGATTAAAGTTGACTTTGGTCAACATTTTGGGTAAACGGACCCGGACCCGTGATTGGACGATCGCGGAGGGTCCGTAGAAAAGTATGAGACTCGGGCATATGCCCGGAGTCGAATTCCGAGGTCTAGAGCCTGAGAAATAAATTTTTCTATGAAATTGTTTTTCTGAAATTAATATTGAAATTTGAAACGAAAATGGATTATAACGTGTTGGTATCGGGCCCGTATTTTGGTTCCGGCGCCCGGTATAGGTCTTATATGCGATTTAAGCGCTTTCTGTGAAATTTGGTTGAAATCGGACGTCATTTGACGTGTTTCGGACCTGAATCTCTAAAAATGATAGCTTATTTCATTCAATGCGTTCGCGTATCCCCTATCGCGTTCGCATAGGCCAATTCCCTGGACCCCAGTATTTTAACCTACGCGTTCGCATCACCCTCTCGCGAACGCGATGCTTGCCAGCTTCCCCTTCTTCGCGAACGCGACCCCTGTGTCGCGAACGCATAGGGCATTTTTGCCCAGTCATTTAATGCTTCAAAAACAGAACAGTGACGGGTTTAGTTCCAAAATTTTCACGAGCTCTCTTCTTCCCCAAGCTCTAAAAGTCCATTGAAGCCCCCATTCTTCAAGACCATTTGGGTTAGTAATATCCCACCTATTTCCTTCATTTTCTCTCATTAATTAGTGAATTCCTATGCTTAAATCACATAGATTAGGGTGGAAATTGGGGGAATTGGGTAGAGTTAGGGCTTTTCAATTTTCTTTGATTTAGACCTCGTTTTGGGGTCGAACGTGAAAACAAATTGTATATTCGGGCTCGTGGAGGAATGGGTGATATGAAATTGGTTCGAACCTCGGGTTTTGATCAAGCGGGCTCGGGGTCGATTTTTTGGAATTTTGGGAAGAAAGCTTAGAAAACTATATTTAGGCATTTGGTTTGATTTGTTTAGCTTATATTAATGTTGTAAAGTCGTTATTTCATAGATTTGATTGATTTGGAGCCGAATTCGAGAGGGAAAGCGGTTGTTGTGGATTGATTTGCCCGTGGAAGTCGAGGTAAGTGTTGGCCTAACCTTAGCTTGAGGGAATAGGAATTGAGTCTTGTTTGCTACTTGCTAATTGTCGAGTACGGTGTATAGGCATGGTGACGAGTATCTATACATTAGTGTGTAGCATGACCGTGAGTCCTTAAAATGCGATTATCATGATTTGTTGAAACTTCCATGCTTAATTGAGGATTCCTATATATTGTAAAGAACGCATGAAAGACATTAGTGATTATTTGATTCTCCGGAGCATTNAGTACGGTGTATAGGCATGGTGATGAGTATCTATACACTGGTGTCTAT